AAATGAAGGAAGAAGACACAATTACACCTATGGAGACATTCACGTAATATTTTAGTAATAAAATAACTAACATTATAAATTTCTTGTTATCTAATTTAAACTTAATTTTCTGAGTTTTTTTTTTGTTTATTTATTTTTTCTTTTTTTGAGAGATTTTGCTATAGGTTGCATGCGCTTGCCAGAGGAACAAATAGAAACAGAGAGACAGAAAGTGAGAAACCAATCCCCCAAAGGGGATGGCCACACTGCAATCCCTTCTCCTCCATTCTCCTCTCGGGATCTTGGGCACCCTCAACCAGTGTGATTTTAAGGCACCAGGTCCGGGATTCAAACTGCAGTCAACTCTGTGGGAGTCCAGCAATGTAACTATTACAGTATTTGCTGGTCCCTAAAACTTTTCTTGTTTAAAAGGGAGTACAGTATATTATATTTGTATAGTTAATCAGCCAGCAATACCAACAACAGTGTCTCATTAAGGCAAATGCTCTTGAATCTTATTTTTTTCCCTTTATTGTTACATTTCCATTTTTGACATGGCATGATGAAATTATCCTCTGACTTACTCCACAGCCAAGCCGCAACGTGTGGTTAGGTTTCTGTAAATTTCTGATTCTGACTCTATACTGAGAAACACAGTGGGCAGAGACTTCACTGCACTGAGGTAATCATAAGGAAATAGCTGTTATTTTCTTATGGCTAATGTGGTCAAAGAGATAAGGCTGACAATGTAGAGAATGTAGACAATGTAAATTTCAGGTTTAAATTTGTCTTTTCCTAATTTATCCTACTTGGTACAAGATCTTTTGATGTACCTCTGGAAATGTCTAGAATCTAAGTTAGGGAAAGTGCTCTGGTGTTCAGAGTCTCCTGCCTTGAGCAAAGGCAAATGTTCCCACATAGTTGTTTTTTTTGCTGATAGAGCTCAGCAATAAGATATGAGACTGAAACCTTATTATGTTCTAGTATTAGTTTTGGGGACCTGGTGGGGTAAGGTCTTCCCCATGGGACCTGCTCTGTGGACTGGTGGTTAAGGTGACTGGGTCCCACATGTCCAATGGCATGGTTCAGTCTCAGACCCAGTGCCTTGAAAAACATGCTGGGCATGTGTGTATGCATGCCCAGAATCCCAAAAGGAGAGAGAAATGGAAGAAAAGGGGTTGTGGCATGGCCGTTCTTCATGAGGGGTACTTTCTCCTTTCCTTCTCCCCATCTTTCTGTCTCTAGTGAGTGCATGCCCCCTCTAGAAATAAATAAATAAATAAATAAATAAATAAATAAACAGAAACAGTAGAAGAAAGATGATGTCATCCTGTGTCTCTAGCTAAAATATCATTAATTTTTTTTTTTTTTTATTTCTTGAGAGAGAGAGAGAGAGAAAGGGAAGGAGGGAGGGAGATATTCTCAAAAGGGTTTCACCTTTTTTGTCCTTACTGGAGAACCTCCCTCAAGCTCTACAGCCAGCCAGGATCACAGGGAGCAAGTTGGGGCAGACCTGAGACATGAACCCAGAGCCCTCCCATATGGTCTCCAACATCACATAGCAGCAGCCATTTGGCCCACACCATGTCAGCTAGGTTGCAAAAACCATTTTAATCTCCCCACACCACATTTACTCCCAATGTAATCTTATTTATGTGATTTCATGTCACTTTTGACTCACATACTTCAAAAGGGCAAGCACTGTCTTAATTTTCCTTAAAACTTCACTAGAAATATACTCCTGTGTTCACGAATGCCACATACCCTCTAGCACTGTCTTATACCTGTATGTACTATAACCCTAAGAAATTACCATAATGTTTGAAGAGGAACCTTTAGGTTTTTGAGTGCACAGAGGTCCTGGAGAATGATGAGTTTTTTACACATGAGGGAGGGCTGAAGCGGCAACTGAAAGGGCATGCACAGAAGCTATTTATGACTTCTCCTCACTGCCCACCTCTAGCCACAGGCAATACAGCTGTAGCACAGATTTTGTAGAAAAATTCAATGAAGCAGTGGCATACGATGGAGGAAATATTGTTTCAGCAATCAAATTCTTCACTAACTAATAAAGTTGTCTCTGGCTTTTCTGTGAATCTCAGTGAAACCGAGGTGTGTTGAAAAATTCATTACTCCCAGCTTTATTGACCCTACTTTTCTCTTCTACTTGCTTTTCAAACAGGCAATCATCTCACTCATCCATTCACCACATGCTTACTCAATTCCAGGTATTATATTTAGCCTCTGGATTTTTAAAATTAAAATAAGGGGCCAGCCCGTGGTATAGCAGTAAAAGCACCAGACTCCCACGTGGGTGAATAAGGTTCCAGTCTCAGACTAAATGACTTGAAAAATCATGCCCAGCATGAATGCATGGGAGCCCAAAATCCAGAGAGGAGAATGGAGAAGCAGAGATTGCAGTGTGGCCATTCTCCCATGGGGGGTGATTTCTCACTTTCCCTCTCTCTGTCTCTCTCTGGTGGCTGCACATGCCCTATGGAAAAAAAAAAACTTTAAAAATTAAATTAAAATAGGCCCCATGAAGTTATCTCCATTTATTCAAACAGTTTTGGAGACAAGTGGAGAGACAGACTGATGCTAGTATGAAAATAGACATCACAGAATGATTGGGAGGGCAGAGGAGAGACACCTAACCTAGAGACATTGAGTTATAGACACAAAAGCCTGCATTTAATAATGCAGAGTCTTATGCTAGATTTCAAGACAAATCTTCTCAGGACAGTCTTTGTTCAAAACTACTCTTTTTTTTTTTTTTTGAGAGCTTTTTGCTATAGGATGTGTACACTCGCCAGAAAGACAGAGAGAGACAGAGAGACAGAAAGCGAGAAATCAGCCCCCAGGGGGGATGGTCATGCCTCAATCCCTTCCCCTTAATTATCCTCTTGGAATCTTGGGCATGCACACATATGCACCCAGCGTGAGTTTAAGCCACCGGTCTGGGACTTAAACCACAGTCAACTACATGGGAGTCCAGCGACCTAGCCATTATGCCAACTGCTGGTCCCAATACTACATTGTAAAAGAGACATTGGTAGAGTATTTGATAAACTCAGCTTTCGTAGACTTTAAATTCAGAAGGTGTTGATAGGGTAGAAAGAACTTTCATGGCTACTAGTTGAAAATTTTGGAAATATTCTTATAAAAAGATTTACATTTACCGAATTATACTGCCTGTTTTACCCTGTTGGGGGTGCCATCTCTCTGTCTCTCTTCTTTTCTTTGTCTTTTACTCATGGAAGAAATTTAACAAGAAAATTATTAATAAAATTTTTTTAAAATTAAATAAATTTTTTCTTATTGGATATATCAGAATAAAATTTTTTTAAAATTAAATAAATTTTTCCTATTGGATATATCCTTATAGATTCACAGGGATATCATTTTTAATGTGATTTCCATGAAGTATGAAAAGACACTAGATATTCTAGACATTAATGAAAATTATTATATTTTCTGATCAATTATTGTAATACATATCCTAATGTATTTTCTACCTTAAAAATTCTAAGACACTTTTAATTTGCAGGTTTAAAAATGTTTAGAAAATGTTTAGAATGTTTTAAAAAGTTCTATACAACCAAATTTCTATTTTTCAAAACCTGAAGTTATCAGACAATACTGTCTGCATTATTTTTTATATGTTTTCATTTCATCATTAAAAGATTGAAATTAAATTATGCTATCTTCTTAACGTAAAGCTCTCCTCCACATGGGAATTTATTCCAGATGTCACCAAATAATATTTACAAGTCACACATTTAATCTATGCTTATGTCAGTCTTTTTCTCAAAGGAAGCAAGTGCCAGTTTTTGTTGTTGTTGTTGTTTTCTGGTTTTTTTTTTTTGTTGTTGTTGTTGTTTTCTGGGTTTTTTTTTTTTTTTTTTTGATTTGAGAGATTTTTTGCTATAGGGCATGTGTGCTCGCTAGACAGAGAGAAAGTGAGAAATCCCCCCTCTCCCCTGGGAGGAGGGTCACAGCACAATCCCTTCTCCTACATTCTCCTTGAGATTTTGGCACACACGCACACATGCCATTGTGAGTTCCAAGCCTCAGGGTCCAGGACTAGAATCGCGGTCAAGCACCAATTTCTTAAACCTGTTTCCAGTTCATGATTTCAACCAAGGCCCTTTAAGAGCTTAATTTCATGTCAGTACCCAGCATACGGTCTACTCCCCAGAAATGCTCAACATCTTGCTTTTCCCAGTTATACTCTACACTTCCTGCAGTATTTTTTTGCTTTTTTTTTTTTTTTTCTGAAGTAGCCTCTTCGTTAGTCTCTGTTAAAATTCAGTGAGGCGCGAGAGGGGTGGGAGAGACTGCATCACCCACAAAATCTTTTATTTTTTTTTTTGGAGAGATTTTCGCTATAGGGCGCATGCGCTCGCCAGACAGACAGAGAGGACAGACAGAGACATTAGAGACAGAAAGTGAGAAATCACCCCCCAGGGGGGATGGTCATGCCGCAATCCCTTCTCTTCCATTCTACTCTCAGGACCTTGGGCATGCATGTACACGCGCCCGGCATGAGCTTTAAGCCACCGGGTCTGGGACACGAACCACGGTCGACTTCATGGGAGTCCAGCGACATAGCCATTATGCTAACTGCTGGTTCCCATCACCCACAAAATCTTGAGGCCATGATCTAACCCCCAGTTTCAGCTAGCTCTAAATCTGGTATCAAGCATTCCAGGCACACTCGGGGAGATCTCTGAATGAGAACCTGGTGTCTTCCCTGTAGGTCAGCCTCACAGATCTTCATGCTTTACCACAGCAGCAGTGTCCCACCCCCAAGCCATTTTTTTATCTTAAAAAATAAAATAGATTTTTACTCTTTAATGTTTGCATGACTATCTTCAGGCAGAAATCATCTTATAAAAGTATTTTATTATGTTCATTTTTATACATGATTTAATATCCTCAAAAGTTCGTAGTTCAATGAAAGAAGAAAATGTTTTTTCAAACACAGAGAATCGATTAAATTTTGTGCTATAATTTAATAGATGAATGAAGAATGCACTTTGCAGTCAAGTCAAATGGGTTTGTATACTGGCTTCATAACTTTCCAGGTATGTGTTTCCTTGGGTAAGTTGCTTAACTTTTTTGGCTCTAGCTATCCAACTTGAAATTGGTCTAATATCAATCCATGTTTAAATGTTAAATTAATACATACAAGTAGCATGTTTAGTGCAGTGTTGGTATGTAATAAATAATGAAGAAAACTTGCAGAATGACTAACCAGAAGGCAAAATGATTCCAAACGAGCTCTCCCGAGGCATATCTTACTTTTAGGTATAGATGGGAGCTTTATCTAAATTATTTTTCTCAGTCAATAACATTTATCATCATCAAAATAATTTCATTACAGTCAATTTTTTAAAAAGCATCCCTTGCAAACTGTTTTTAAAATAATTACTTGAACTATAAATTGTGTATCCATCTTAGCAGAATGAGTCTAAATAATTATTCTAAAATAAGCTCTGTATAGGGTCCTGTATTAATTACACATTTCCCACTCTCGTTTTATTTCCACCTTCCCAACACTGTATAAAAATATCATCTTAGCATTTAGGGTGAACATTTGTGGAATTTCTGCTACTGTAATGCAGTAGTAATTACTTGGATCCTTTAGGAAATCTATGAAGGGGCCAGCAGGTGACATGGTGGTTAAGGCACTGGACTCTCACACGGTCAACTGCAGTTTGATTTCCAAACCTGGTCACTTGCATTTTCACTTTCCTTCTCTCTTTCTCCCTTCCCCTCTCTGGTGGGTCCACGTGCCTTGTAGCAAATAAGAAAACGGTAATAACAGAAATAGTAAATAAACTTAAATAAATAATCTTTTAAAAATAAATCTGTGATGTCAGATTGTGTCTAATTGATCAGACTTTGGTATCAACCTAAGCAAGATAAAGGTTACCAAGGAAACAAATAGCAAGAAAAAAAGAGACTATTCAGGAAATGTTGAATATTAATTCCTAATAGAAATTAATAATGTACAAACTTGGCATAAGAGTAAATTATAGCCTTCTTAGATAAGATAGAAATTAGTTATTCTGAGTGTCTTCACTTTCTTCCACTTACTCATTTTCTTAAATGTTGTGATCATGTAACTTATACCTGTTTTTGTTGTTGTTAATAGTCCATTTGTCTTTTAGTAAGGTTTCATTCATACGTCATGCCTATGTACCTGATGAAGATCATACTATCCACAGAAATACTAGTTTACTTACTCATGCCAAATTACAAAGACATATACTTGAAATAAACTTTAAAAGTGAGTTAATCAGAAATTCGTGACCTATGTAAATTGAACACAAACAATAGTATGCTGAAAGTGAAAGGATATTACAAGTTCACAGCAACATGACTAATCAATATTTTTGATTTATTATAGTAAATTTCTTCTCAATTAATATTAATGTTAAAACATACTTTTCATTTTTAGAATAAGATGGTACTTCAGATAAGGACTAAAGAACTGGACTCCCACATGACTGACCACAGTTCAAGTCTCGGACCAGGCTGCTTGAAACTCGCTGGGCCAGTGTGCATGTGCACCCAAAATCCTGAGGAGGATGGAGGAGAAGGGATTGCAGCATGGCCATGCCTCCCTGAGAGGGTCATTTATCACTTTCTCTCTCTCTGTGTGTCCCTAGTGAGTAAACATGCCTAATAGCAAAAACTTCTCTAAAATAAAACAAAAATTAAAAACAAAAAACTACCTATTTGGGCCAATAAGTCTTTTTCTAAGAAGAGCATGATGATCATGGATATGGTATTATCTCTGACTTCATCAATATGTACTACATTTATGCTGGAAAACGTTTTGTATATTGAAAAACTGTACAGTGATTAAATGTAATTTTTAAATATTTATTTTTTTACTTGTTATAGTTATTTATTTTTAAAATTTTACCAGCGAGAGAGAGAAAGGGAAAGTGAGAAAGCAAGTTGCCAGGTATGGGACTCGAACTGTAGTCAGTCACATGGGAGCCACCTGCCAGCCCTCCAAATGTAAATTTTAAAAATGCAAATAAATAAATAAAAGCTTTATAAGCTTTCAGACCAGAGTCAAAAAAAAAAAAAAAAAAAAAAGGAGAGTGCTGCCTATATAATAAGCCAGGTCAATGGAAGGAAGGGTGTAATACACGTAACTAGTGACTAGCTTTTCAAATAATAAAATGAGAAGTATTTGGGACAGAAAATTATACTTTTTAATTTAGTGGCTTTCTAAATATCATAGTTTTGTATGACCATAAGTAAATGTACTTAGCCCGTACTTGGGGCCTGGATTTTGGTTACTTACATATTCAGTTAAATGACAGATTATTCTTCATTAAATTATACTCTTCAAGATAGATAACACATCTCTGCAAACATGCATTTGGAAATGCTGTAGTGTTAATGATTTCTTTTGAGAATGAGTAATTACATGTCACCATTTTGGTCAGAAAGATAATTTTGCTTTCCACTTCTAGGTACAATGCTAAGATACTGATTCATATCAGCTTATTAAATTCCACAGAAGAAAACGTACCTTGCATTTTCACAGGAAGGAAGTTTTCTGTCTTCAAAGGTGACTTCACACTTCCTTTTAAAATCAATTTTTAACTTAATGATGTCACAGTTTTCCTAATAAAAGTCACTTATTTTTTCATTTTTTCCATTTTCTCAATTATTTTTCTTTATATATATATATATATATATATATATACACATATATATTATTTTAATTTCTTTTAGACATTTAATCACATACATCACTTAGCCTGTAAAGTGAATGTTCCAGTATGAATACATTTCTCACCAGTCCAATTGGGGATACTATACGTTATCATCAACAGATAATAATCTTTTTCTGTGTCCCATAAATCTTTCATTCAGTTTCACTGAGACTTCCTTTTCTTTATTTCATTTCATACATTTAATCACTGTATATCAACACAGCTTGTAAAATGAATTTTCCCAGCATGAACACACTGCACACAAGTCCAGTTAAAGATATCATACACACTATCATCAACTGACAGTCCTCCACCTTGGAATGGGAGAATATATTTGCAAACTATGCCTCAGACAAAGGATTGATAACCAGAATATACAGGGAATTCATTGAGACTTTTTGAACAGCATCAAAAGATTGAACACAGGACAGCATATATTAACAGGTTCAGCTTACTTTTATGGTGTGAGGTTGTCTGGTAAATCTTGGACTGTATACAGTGATGCTTGTGTATGTGTCTGTGTCTATGTATCTTTTTCAAGTGAATGACATTTGCCAAAAGTTATATAAATGTTTATGTGCAAGTCACAACTCAAATACAAATTACCCTTATTCTAATTGTTGGATATCTTTAAAGAATGAAGAAAAACATCAAACTTTTCCTGAAAACATAAATATAGCAAATCAGCAGACGTTAATACACCTTAAATGAATAGCATACAAGTTAAAATATCAGTATATTAATATATATGCTAATATCATGCTTGAAATTAAGGAACCACTTTTGAAAAATACCAATCTTACTAAAAATATAAGAGCTAAACTAGGTAACAAAGAGACCAAAGAGACCAAAAAACAGCGATCTAATGTACCTTGAACGCCCAAGGGTGGGTGATGATCAGCTTACGCACTACAGATATTTGGAATGGTCTAGTGATTGCTATGAGGCTACTCGCTTTGATCATTTCCAACAAAAAATAAATTCAACAGACAGTGACATCAATATCACTACTAAAAACTTCCCCTATCAGCAGATTGATCTTGTTGCTATTGCTGCTGCAATTTACCTTTTATGCCTCATTACTTTATTTAGAAAATGAACACATACTATTTAACCTTTGGAGAAAGAGACTGTCATTTTCAAATGTGTGGTAGCTAGGAGAAATGCTGGGAATGTAATAAATGTAGCTCAAATTTAATGAAGAAGGACGATAAACATTGAAAATAAAGATGGGTATAGACTGAGTTTAAGGAAGACGAAGCATTAAGATTAAAGTACTGGAGAATGTTTTTATTATTATTATTATTATTATTTTAAAAGATAGGACAAGGACAAATAAACAAACTGGAAAGTAAATATTTCAATAAAAGGAAAACTGAATGAAAGAATGATCTGAAGTACTAAAACTCTGCTTAAAATGATCCAGATAAGTCTAAGGGTAAAATGCTTGAGTTCTGGAGTTAACTTCTAGGATTGGCAACTCAGCATTGCCTCTTGCAAAGCTGACATACCTATCTGAGACTAGTTTGCTGATCTGCGTATCAGAGGCAATACTAGAACACCTCCTCCGATATTGTTATGAAAATAATATTAGAAGTAAACGAATCTAGCGTCTGGTCAATAGTGCACAGTAAGTGTTACTAACACTTAGGAGAAGTACTTTAACATTTTATTTTCAAAAAGAAGGGGGAGAAGTTGTTTCCTGGTTAATGATATAAAGAAATTGCACCACACAAATTACATATAAAAGTAATATGTTATTGAAGACCATTACTATAAGCGCAGGAGATTCAATTCAACTCCAACTCTTCTAAATAGAATCAGAGAGCGCATTCATGTGGAAGAGTCCTGGAGGAATTTAACAGGGAGTCTGGATAATGTAATTAGGCCATCTATGCTTGCTAATTGGCATTTATTGAAGTTAGATCCCTACTCCCCTCACAGAAACTGAAAGATAGAAGTCAGTCATATCTTTCTTTATGATTTTAAAAGGGAATGATTACAAGGCTTTTGAGAAAGACACTCCTGGTTGGTAGATACTGAGGTAGATACTCTAGAAAAAGGAAGGTTAGGGACATTTATCAGGAAGAGCCATCCCTCAAGTTTAGTTAGGAAAACTTAAGGCCATTTTGGTTCATGTGAACTAATGATAACTAAAACGTCCCTTCTCAACTCCTATTTCTGTCTTTTTCTCTCTTAGAAAAATGACATGCTGCTATTTTCAGTCTGATGAAAAGTTCAGTGGAAAAATAAATCCCAAAATAAATGTAGGACTTTAGTCTTTTTTCCCAAATGTTCTAATGAAGTTAGAGTTTTCACATTCAGAGAAATTAAGTCCCAAGGCTTTGAAAAACATTACATAGAAACTTATTACCATTACTTACAATGATTTATAATTGTGAAAAATGTGAATACTGGAGAAGAAAAGGTGGATCCACACATTTCAGAAAGAAAGAAGCTAGCTTTCAGACTGGTGAGTTTAACATTGAAACAGGGAAAATTTCAAGAAGTAATTTCCTAACAATATTTTGTGTGTATTTAGAATGGGGATAATATGTAAACCTAATCATGAGCTCATAAATTGCTGAGATTTATATGAATTAAAAAGTTGGTAGATCAGGGTAATGATGTAGTCCTGAATTCAAATGGCTTTAGGGTTCGGTCCAAGAGAATCAACCTATGAAGCAAAAATCATAAATCAGTAAGGAGTGCAAAATCCTGTGGAAAGGAGAGAAGGCTTGACTCCTAAAATCACTACATTTCAATTTTTGGAAAACCTTTGAAGTCCAAGCAGTAATGTGTGCTATGAATTCCAGCTGAGTCTGTGAGTCTGGTATTCCCAATAATAACTTGAATTTCATCAAGAATTTTGCCATTGTCTACCAGAATATTATGTCAGTATAATGAAGAAATTTAGATTTCAATTCAAGTTAGGAGAATTCAAAAGTGGCGAAAATTCTCCATCAAAAGGATTACTAAATAATGTAACCATATGATGTGAACCATACCTGATTGCATGCCTAAAATGCCTTTCCAAAAATCTAAATCATTTAGAAGGCACAGTTTATGGAGGAATAGGAAACAATTTGGATGGGGTAAAATGATCATATCAAGTTTGAATGATAGAGTAAGCCTAAGAAGAAGTTTTATACAGACAAATATGGACTCCTGAAATAATTCTTTCTTAAAGGAACTGACAAGTACAATATTAGGCTATGGAGCTTGCCTGTATGGAAAATAAACAGAATTTACAGTATTTGGTAAGACAGATATTTCAAAATGCAGAAAAACTTTTTAACATAGTAGCAAAGAACATCATTTTTAATAACAAAAACTTTTTATAAATCAAGTTATCTGTACGGATAAAAACAACTTCCTAACTGTGGATAGGTTCATAATTTAGAGAGTCCATTATCTCATGTTTTGAAGAAGGTAGTATGGTATCATATTAAAGTCAGATTATTCATCTTTTCTGCTTGTGACATTCTAGAATGTTATGGTCTTCTGTGCAATCCTATAAAAATCAATGGATAAATTCCTTGTACAAATTAAAATTTCTATGAGACTCTCTTCAGCAGATTTTTCTATAGGAAACCAGCTTAATTTTGACTTGGGTAATTTTATCAAAAAAAAAAAAAAGAAAGAAAAATCAACTTAGTAGTTTCTTGTGAACCAAGAGCATTGACTCTCAGACAAGACCATTTATGGATATCCATTTGGCTACTTGCAGTTATTTATATAAGTTATTTAGGGTTGTTTTTTTTTTTTGGTGCTCAACTTAGTCAAATATGAAATGAGAATAAAATGTATTACACAATGCTTTTTTATTATTATAAAATGACCTAAAGCTATATCACGT